TCTGGTATGTGCAACAGACGATGCATAACTCCCCTTTCCTGAGAGGTGGTCGTTCGTGCGAGCTACGAGCTGTAAAAGTCTTACCTGCCTGTTTGCTAAGGAACGTTTCACAGCAGTGGTCGTTTGTACTCACGAGTAAAGAAGGGAGTTGTTGTTGAAACTTGATTTCTTGGGTTGTGTGGTAGTGCTAGTGGATGAACTGCGTATTGACGCGATTTGCATTTGTCGACTATTATGCATCACTTTTTTAATAATATTTGTCACTTCCTATCGCCTCAACAAACTTGGACAACCTCCTTCAGTTCTGGTAACCATTACTGATGCTTCCAATTCTTTTCGAAATATACGATACAGCATACGGCAAGTACCCTTGCCGTGAGCAGAGGCTCAAGAGTCTGACATTGATTAAAAAGCTCGTGCAGGTTGGCATTACTTGAGCTATCATTTTATAGAATGCGGTTTCACCGTCAGAAGCAGAACTCAAAGCGCTCAAGGATACCATGAAAGACACTAAGCCAGTTGGTCCGCTCCTCAACAAATGCCGAACAGCTTGTCAAGGAAAAGCTCTACTCAGGTAGCTTAAAAAGTTCTAGAGGTTGGGAGTGCTGTACTGAAAATCGCGTTTAGGCTACTCGACGTGATTACTGACAAGGATCTCAATGTTACTTGCTCAATTACAGCCGCAAGAGGTCGTGGGAAATCAGCTTCTCTAGGTACTACTTTCAATAGAAATACCTCGATTCAAAATTATTTGTTATCGGCAGTTTCGCTGTGCTATTTTTACGTTCACTAGTCCGCTACCAATGATTATCTGCTTCGTGAGGCGCGCAAATGCTCTTGAATCAGTTTTGGATAATCCCTTGAGAATTTCGATGTTCAGGTCTGGCCTTGGCAGGAGCTGTTGCGTTTGGTTACTCGAATATTTTTGTCACGTCTCCTTCACCTGAGAATCTTCGAACTCTATTTGAGTTTGTTATGAAAGGGTTTGACACTATGGGATACCAGGTTTGTTTTGTAGCTCTTCACTTTCTAAAAAGTAGATCACAAGAGGAGACTTTGGTATCGTATTTCCTTTTTTTCAGGAACATATCGATTATGAACTGATCCAATCTACGAATCCTGAGTTTCAAAAGGCTCTTGTGCGAGTTAACGTTTTCAGAGAACACAGGCAAACAATCCAAGTTAGTTCAGTGATTCGGAACTTGAAATTACTGGTCGTACCCGTTCAATAGAAGGTTTCCGTTTGCAGCGGTCTTTTTATTCCCTGTAAGGTTTATTAATGTTTATCCGTAATCCGAGAATTTGGTTTATAGAATCCCTATAGCCTGCCTATAAAGTCCCTTTTTTCATTATTCTGTTCTTCCTGTTCTTTTGATTTTATTTTGTTTTCCAGTACATACACCCTTCTGATGCTTCCAAATTGGGTCAAGCTGAACTAGTAGTCGTAGATGAAGCTGCGGCGATACCTCTCCCGTTAGTGAAGGAATTAATTTTTGGTTAGTATTTATTTCTGATCACATGATACACTGTTAAACCTTTTATACAAAATTAGCAAGAATCATGGATAAGTCGCCAAAGTTTTGTTGTAGGTGTTAGTCACTAAATGGCATTCAGTCTCACAAATTCCAGGTCCTTATATCGTTTTCCTTGCCTCGACGATAAACGGCTATGAGGGGACGGGAAGAAGTCTGTCGTTGAAATTGCTCCAACAACTCCGCCAACAGGCGGCTGGAAGCGTCAAAGGGGAGAAATTAGCGTCAAGCAAAGGTTCTTTTGTTTCTTCTTGCTTTTATTTTCCTTTTTTCGAGGCTTTCTTTTCTTTTTCTTTCTCTCTGATAGTCCTTCTGTGTAAATGAAAGCGAAGCAAGTTACAGGTCGTAAGCTACATGAACTTACGATGGAGGAAAGTATACGATATAAACCTGGTGATGAAGTGAGCATTTTTCATCCAAACAGTTCCCTTTTAGCTTATTGTTCGTCGCTCATTCAAAACCATTACCTTTTTCTAGATCGAACAGTGGTTGAATCGTGTGCTGTGTCTCAATGCGGGTAATATTAACACACGCCTTTCATGTGGTACTCCTCCACCGAGCGAATGCGAGCTGTAGGTTTTGTCTTCAAAGTGTTTTCTTGTTTTGTTGAAGTATTTGCTGGAAGGACCGTGTCCTTGTTTGCGAAGGGGCATGGGAGAGCCGATGTTTTGCAAAAATGAAGTATTAAAGGAAAGTGTGTGAGTGTGCGGAGTTTTGGGAGAACTGGAGAACTGGCCAGTTAATGCTCTGGGAGATTGTGCTGCGTAAGTGGCTGGTTGCCGATCGGCGCCTGTCCCTAGTATTTTGGGGCAAGTAAGAGATCGGGATGGAATTCTTCTCGGTTCTCGATCGATTTCCCACCTGACTGCGATTGCGCGAGCAGTCTTCCGACTAGCGCTTTCTCTGATTCTTCCGATTCGACACAGTGCGCTCACCCTTTCCTTCTGAGTGCATTCTACTGCTCTCCGACTTTCCTGTTCTGCCATTCCGCTCTTCTCCAGTATCGCAAGGTTTGAACGTCGTTAAACCGTTTTGAGCTACCGCTTGGTGAAACTTCGGAAAAGATTTTTGTTCCTTATGTGGTTCGGGAGTACTTCGCTCGTTTTATCCTTTCATCCTAACGCCATTCTAGAAACGTGGGAAGGACATTCTCAACTCCGCAAACTGACAAACTACTGAGGGCCGCTAGAATTGTCATGAAATTTGAGGCCCTGGTTTAGGTACATCGTTAAACCAGAATGCCTTGGTTCTCATTATCACAGGCGTCCGAAGCATTTTCCCCAACAAATCATTTGGCATCTATTGGCGCTCATTTACAAGAACTCACCAAATGATCTGCAGGTACACCTAAAGATGACCACTATATGGGAGCGGATTCATCACATTAATCTTTCAGATGCTTAGCGATGCACCTGCTCATCATCTTTTCGTTCTCATGTCACCAGTGAAGGAAGATCAGTCATCTTTACCCGAAGTGCGTACTATTCATGCGTTCCGAAATGATTTTGAAATGCATTCTGTGAAAAAGCTAGCGTGCTATACACGTCTTGAGGCGAGATTTTGCTCTAGGTGCTGGCGTTGGCGCAGGTTTGCCTCGAAGGCAATTTGTCGAAGGAATCCGTGTCCGGGGCAATGAACAAAGGAAAGCGAGCTGCTGGTGACTTACTACCGTGGACGATCTCTCAGCACTTCATGGTTTGTTTCTTGTCGCCAATGTTCTTGGTTGCATTTGTCGCTATAGGTGAGGCTTTCACCCTATGCAATCCTGCTTTAGGACCGCGATTTCCCCACCCTATGTGGTGGACGTGTGGTTCGAATTGCAGTTCATCCTGACTTCCAGTCAATGGGTTACGGTACTCGTACACTTGAACTCTTGGAGGAGTATTATCTAGGTCATGTGCCGTCGATTGACGAAGGCGTGAAGGAAACTGTAAAGACTGTAAAGGTGACTTCTTATTCCGTTGTGCTTTACGAACCTGTGCATTTGCTGTCAATGTTTTCTGGTCGGTTTCAGGATGGACACACAGTGGCATTGTTAGAAGAGCAAATTGCTCCACGAGCGGATCTTCCTCCTCTGCTGATGAGATTGACTGAAAGGAAGGCGGAACGCTTGGATTATCTAGGTAAGATTTCCTGTGTTTTCGGGTTACAAAGTTGTATGAAAACATAATCTGTTTTTTTCCAATGGACATTTTCTGGAAGCTTCGACTGAAAAATAAATTGTTGCAGGAGTATCATTCGGCTTAACTTTGAATTTGTTGAAATTCTGGAAGAAGAATGGCTTTGTGCCAGTATATCTACGTCAGACACCTAGTCCGCTTACTGGAGAGTATACGTGTGCTATGTTGAAGCGGATGGACGGTAAGTTTTCAGAAGAATTGGATATGAATTTGTGAAATATTTCAGCGAATAATTGTCTGACAGTAAATTGAACAGACCCTTTGTACCCACCGTAGCGCTATCGTAGTAATGACAGCGCTACCTCTTCTGGGTAGGCTTTTCTTACGAGTTCCTTTATTCTTTTAGGTTCTTCCACCTGATTTTTAGATCTTTCACCTGATATTCAGAGTTGTTATATGACGATGACTTCTGTTAAACACCGCAGTTATCATAGTAAAAGAATTTCAAAAACTTATTGAACATTGAGCCCCGCGACTTTCTGCTGATGTCTAACGATACGGCTGAGCGGCACACTATGTTAAACCTGTGAGTGCTGTAAGGCTACGGCAAAAAGGCGTCAAGTCGAGTGAGTAGTGGGCGGCCTTGGTGGTGTAACGGACAGAGCCCTTGCTCGGAAAACGTGAGATGTGGGTTCGAATCTTGCCTGAGGTCAAGCTTTTTGCCCATAATTCAACATTCTTTGTGGTCATTTTCTCTAAATTGTTGTGCTAGGTGTTATGTCGTGGTAAGGTAGGGACACGACGGTTACTCATTGTCAGAGGAGTTTTTCTACTAGGTTAAGCCAAACAAGGCCTAAATTATTTCCTAGCTTCTTTCTTGGGGTATTTCCTGAAAAGGTGGTGAATCAGATTCCCAGAGTTGTCGACAGTTCTTACTACACGGTGCTCTCAATTGAGCTTTGTGACGTTTTCATATAAGGGTTTGGCTGATGCTTAGATTCATGGCCATTGAAAGCAAGAAATCCACTTTCTGCTAAAGTAGTCATCTTTCAAGACCAGTCGGAGACGTCCAGTTCTTGGCTTGCTGCCTACTTCCGTGAATTCCGGTCACGACTGCTCTCGCTGTTGTCCTTCGAATTCAGGAAGCTACCAATAAATCTTGGCTTGTCGCTATTGCAAGTCAGGAACAAGGAAGTGACGACAGCTCTGCAAAATGAAAGAAAAAGTATGTGTGTAATCGTTTCACTTTTGCTTTTCCATTCTCTTTCTTCCAGTGTATTTTCTGCCACTACCATCGTTTCAGCTATCACTCGTGAACAACTGGCAATGTTCCTGTCGAATGTGGATCTCAAACGACTCTCGGAATATGCACGCAATTTGGTTGATCATCAAATGATCACTGACTTGCTACCTACTGTATCCCGGTTGTATTTCGGTGATCAGTTGAGAGAAAATGTGGGTATTTAGCCGCTCTTCGCCTGGTGGGAGAGAGGTGGGGTGCTGGAGGTGTATCCTGCTAGTTTCCTTCAACGGGCAGACATGTGAACATGAAGCTATTGACACTCAGCGAAGCAACAGGCACCTTGTGTAACATACAGTCACAATTAATAGAGTTCGTACCATTCCGCAATTTTGCAAGGGCTTACACGTGTCACCAAGGCAGCTCATTGAGGCAGTCTATTCCTTTTGCAGCTTCACAATAGTTTACAGGTCCAACCAATGCGAGGAACTTAAAGTAACTAGCAAAGTGCCCCCTTCCCACGTCCCTGCCCCTTAAAGCGAACAGCGCCAGCTTTCCAAGTGCAGCACTGTCGTACCACAGTTTTGTTTCATTTAGGTCAAACTCTCAACTGTACAAGCTGCGGTATTGCTTGGACTTGGTCTGCAGCACAAAAGTGCTGAAGGTGTCCAGGAAGAACTGGATCTTCCTCAAAGCCAGGTAACTGCGAATTTATCAAATTCTCTCAGCCCTAGTCCCTAGTCTCGACTCTAGTCATTCATCCTGTCTTTATCTTTTCACATCTGGTAATCATTCAGTCTTTTATAGGTATTTGCCCTTCAATCGAAAACAATCAGGAAGTTGTCAGATGAGTTCGATACCATGTGTATGGATTCCATTCGTGAACTGATTCCTGATAAATCACGTGATGTGGACAAAGAACGGCAGTCAGCTGTGGTCTCGCACTTGAAACCATTGGCTGAAAGTCTTGAGGTTTGTTAATTCATTTTTGTCAAAGCTAGAGGACAATCAATTTTGATTGGTATATTTACACCCTCCAAATGGATGAAGGGAGACGGTCGGATCCTTTCTCCGAACTTCCATATTTTTTGAAGACTTCTCAATGACATGACTGGGATATATAACCCACATCCAGAGGATGAAGAGAGCGTGGTTGCGTTTTTCTTCTGAGCATGGTGTATAATGCATGTTCGCGATATTTCCCTTTTAGACAACTGTCATAATGTTGTGTGCTAGACAAGGATGATTATAATCATCTAAGACGGCATTATCCCATTCAAGGCACAGACGTGGCTACTTCCAAGCAAAGCCACGCCCTCTTCTGCTTTAGGATATGGTATGGACCTCCTGAGGTTTGAGCAAAATCGATAACGGGTCCAGTTAGACCATGCATGCAGTAATAATAGCGCCGTGTGCCACTGCCCTGCCTCAGCACTTGAATAGCATAAGTTGAATTTGAACGCCCTATTTCAGCATTGCGTGTTCATTCCAATCCGCCGTTTTGGGTTCCTTGACGGGTAACGTGAACGGTGATCATTGCAGGACGAGTTGAATAAGGCTGCTGACGAGATCAGAGAGCGTCAGATGCGTGACAAGAAGGCACTTTTAGAAGAAACTGAAGATCTCTCCCAATATGAAATCAATGTTGATACGAAGACACTGGCCAAGGTATTTAAATTTACCTACCTAGTGCATGACACGAAGGCCCGAAATAGAAAGTTGCTTTTTTGCAGGCGAGTGATATCAAAATGATCTACAGCCGTCCACTGAATGTTCAGAAACGGTTTGTTCTCCACATTTTCGAAAGCAGCTCCGTTTTGTAAAATGTTTCCGTTAAGGCCACAAAACGATGAAGATGGGTCAGCTAGAAAAAAGAAGAAAATGTTCAAGAAGAAGAAAGCTTAAACTGCTTACGCTTAGAAAGATGGTGCAGTAGGTAGATCTGCCACCAGTAATTGTTGCTGTCTTTCAGACAGATTTTCTTCATTGTTGTTTTTTTTTGCTCCGAGAGTTTGTTGTGTGGTTTAATGACCAGTCCTCAAGATCTATGTGGTGATCTGAACGTGTTTACAGTGACCTTCTCATCTATCGTTTTCTGAATTTGGTTCGCAAGCTGATTAGCCTTCGACGAAGATTTTTCCACATTTTTGTGCCATGTCAGTCTGATAACAATTACCCAGTGCCTGGATAATGCTGCGTTACTTTTATTAGGGTTAGCTAGTTAGTACGGATTCCCACCAGGGCTCTGATTACCCAACTTGCTGAGGTTTGAGTTGTCCTTGCGCTTTGAGTGCAGCACATGTTTCATGAGTGGGTACTGAGTAGGTTCCAGAGCATCAGGCTGGACTCAACTCAGCTGTTGTGAGAAGTTCCTTCGGGCTCCCAAAGAAGGCCCCAAACAACCATCGCACCTAGCAAACTGTATAAATCACTTCGCGAGACTGGATCGATTATTGTGTTAAATTTTGAATGTACAGATCCCAGTCATCTGAAGCTGAAAGGGTCCCATTCAGGGACAGAGATGTTAAAAAAGCACCATTTGTTGTTACTGTGCACTTTGTTTTGCTTGTTGTTATCTGTTGCTATGTTACCACATTGTTAAGTAAATATTTATTATCTCATATACATGATATTGAGCTGAGAGGGTAGAATCACGGACTCGTATTGATCACATGGGTTGTGGGGGTGGGTATCACTTCCATTTCTCAGCAAATGGATAACAGGCTGCTGTGCAAAGGAAACGACCAAACATGTAGTTTTGACCCCAGTTCCCCTTTGACAGTGGAACCGTAACTGTACAACCAGAAATTCTACTGGAAGAAGGTAAGGCTCTATTAGTAATTTTTCCGAGCAGATTTAGTGTCGTGACAAAGCGGTAACGCCAGAGGGGCAAAGTGTGCGGGCGACAAATGATTTTAGTCCTCATTCGGAAGAGGAACTCACAGACAGTTGTTCTACTGAGTCAGAAATACGGTTAACGTTGAGGCAGGGTGGAATGGTGTGCGGGCCAGCAGATGTGAGATGCGGCATTACAGAAACAAGTTTGGCACTTTCTAGTTAACTCACTGTGCTGAATGTAGCACTTTGCGTCAAATCAGTTAGGCAGCGTTCAGACTTCGCGACGGCAGCGCTTCGGTGACGCGATCGATGCAGTTGAAAGCATGCGCATCGATCGCGCCGAACGCGCGACCGAGGCGCTGCCGTCGCGAAGTCTGAACCGCCATAGACCCCGGTCCGAGTGCCGCGTAACTGCCCCCACTTGCCAACGTTGCTTTCGCCAAAATTCCTATCTCCTTACACGCAAGCTTTGCAGAGTAAAGTCACCTGTTGTCATTGCAGCCATGCATAATTACCTGCCAAGATATCCCCATCAGGACAGAAAAAGAAGAAGACACGTCTGCGTTGGGATACCCAGCGAAGGGGTGGGGGGGGGCGGATACGTCAATTTCTTCTACATGATACTTAACCCTGTCCCCCTCACCGGTCGACAGCAGTATTTCGGAAAAAAATGAAGAATTTCGTAGAAATTCGGAAAAGTGGTAGAAAGTTGCGAAAGTTAACGAACATGCTAGGTAGAATGGGGAAGTGGGAAAAAAGGTCGCGCCATAAAAAAATCTTGAGGGAGGATCGTGTTCTACAGAATGTTCCCCAGCGAGAAGACGTGCAACCTCCCTCAATTTTAGCTTGTCAACAAGGAGCATAGAAATTACTTGAGGGGTCGAAGTGGGTGTGAACTTAAACTTGACGAGATTCTATTTACTGCTATGTTGCCAGTTTCTTTGGTCTATGGAGATCTGTGAATCCAGAACTAGTTCAAAAAATATTTCCCGAAGAAAGTGCTAAATTAAGAAAGCGAGCGGTCCACACTGTGTCATTTTTCAGGCAAATCACTGGGAATTACTTTGAAACCAGTTCACAACCTATAGTATCGTCTCGTTTGTTCTACGAGGTGATGGGTAAACCTCCAACAACATCGTGAAGCTCATGAACACCTGACGAATCGCAAATGGATAGCATTCATCTTGCCGATGAATACCTGGGTACAGTTCTGTCCTCCGGGGATGGGGAAGGGAGTGGACTGTGGGGTGGGGGGGGGGGGTGTGCCGCGTTTTTTCCTCTTTCCTTCTTTCGACATGCGACGAGACTGTGCCATATCAGCATCACTTCGTTCCCGTTCTCCATCACTTGTTGTCGCTTCCTCGCTTCAATAGCTGGTAGAGAACGGGCTGGAGGCGCGCCAAA